TACATGCTTGTTTCACTCAGGATTTTTCCCTGGTCATTCCCAAAACACTGAATATGCCAGTGTTTTGGGAATGACAGCGAGAAGCCAACCACCTTCAGGTTATATAACATACAGCATTATGCAAGGGGAAAGAAAATATCTAAGGAATCAAGTTATAATCACTTGGAATTTGAGTATCTTTTTGTATTCAATTCATAACTGAAAGCTGCACAAGGTACAATTCAAAGAAAGTTCTTGAACTCAATCCATAAGGCATATAAAATATACCAGATTTAATTTTGGCTCCTTGTGAAGACCTGCACCATTTCCAGCAGTCCTGCTATTTTTAAATCACTTCCTGGAAGTACCATGCTTGTCTGCAGTTTCATCATGAACCTCAAACTTTCGTGAACAGCAAACATCAACCTCTGAGTCAGACGGACCCAGCTATCATTTTGCTAATCATCATGGGTAACTGGGACACTGGCCTCTCTTTTTTGACACAAAGACCGAACAGTGGTCTTAAATGGGAGAGTGGAAGGGAGATCATGAGGTGAGTAGCGCCACCAGGTCCATGTCATTTTATTTAATTCACAAGTTGTCACTGTAAATTTGTCCCTGAAGGTCAAATGTCTGTCAGTGAAAATTTGGCTCAAATTACCTGAACTTAGAGAACAGGCTCAGCTCATTTTGAGCTGTTTACAATCAGAACTACTCCGTTTGACTCCATATTCTTCCTTAAAATGACATTCAAGTTGAACAGTTGTTATCGGGCACTGCAAATGCATGCCTAGAAATGGTCAAAATGGGACTTCCAAGGAGCGATCCAAGCTTAGCAGGAGCAGGAGTGCTGGAACACTTACAGCACCTCACAATGAGCTGACCTTGAAGGGGATAGTGGGCAAATTTAAATCAGATATGCTGTTGAGGGAGTAAAATATTGTTGTTTTAAATCTTCAAGTACAAACATGAAAAGCAATGTGACGCCACTGTGGAGCTCAGTATGACCACCCCGACCCCAAAAAGGTACAAGCTGAGGAGGATTGAACATTTCTGAGCCTAGATGAAAAAGTAAGGTCAACACAAGATGATAATAAGTTCCAGGAATTTGGGATATCAGCCATTTCCGAACGACAATTAGTCAAAGGCAGAAGATGCATCCATCCATTATGCATCCAATATGGATAAATATGTCATCATGAGTCATCAGTGAGTCAATAAATACTCTCCCTGGATCTTTTTTATGCCTTAAAACTAGCCTGAAATCTAAGCTAAAAAATGCTGGTGAGATAATCTTGAGAAAGCAGATTTGTGTTTTCAAATCACCAGTGGTTTCAAAGTACAGTCAATAGCAACAGCACTTGGAATCACATTATGAAAACCTGTTTGAGGAGCCCACAGGGCATAACATTAAGGAAGCAGTCTGTGGAGCACATGTGAAAGTTCCTAGTAAAGAACTGAACTGTTCAGCTGGAACTACTTTTCACAGCACTGAAGACGATTATAAATGGAAAGAGTTTGTGCACAACTTAAATAGTAGCAGATACAACACTTATCTTTTATCATCAGTGCTTCACTGAACCTTGAAATCTATATTTTTTGTGTTAATTTCACAATGCACTTCAACTGTTAGCTTCCTGAAAGAAGTGAAACTACCAAGGACATTCTTTCATATTCATTAAACACACTTACTACACATACCTTCCTTTATTAAGAAAAGCTTTTAACACAATAACTGATTCATTCCCATTTGTGTGAACAACTTTCAAATGTCACACACATTGTGTGTTAAGTGTGCAGCAACTTTATGTTTAATATTTCTGAAAAACATCTTAATAAGGAGATAAAAGGTAACTGTAACATTTTCTGTGGGCCACTGTAAGAGATGAGGTTTAAGAGAGACATATCTACCACCTACAACTGATCACTGCAGTTCACAATGATAAGAAAACTGTAGAAACACACACTGCAGCTGCCCAGTTGTGTATAACTCACAGATGCAGATGAGCAGCGATTCTTACAGAGAGAAATGAGACTGAGCAAGCCTGTCACTACTGTCTCTCAGTTAAAAAAAGAGGATGTGAAACTGTGGAATCAAGATAAGATGAGGAAGTGGAGTCACACATTTTGCACATGCCCTAAAACGCCCCACCCACACTTACCTCTGGGAGATCATGGGTCATGTTGTCATATAGCACATGAAACGCTGTCATTCCCGTGGTTTTCTAGAAAAACTCCGAGCTTCAGTGAAAAGCTTATGCAGTAGTTTGTGTTATATTTCTGTCTGCCTTTTTTAAATTATTATCTCTAAGGAAAACCCAACAAACCACCAGGATAGGACAAGAGCTGAGAAAGCTGTGTAGGTCATGGGAGAACTGTCCATATGGCAAACGCATGAAGCTGTGTTTACACACACCTGATGCTCTTTCACACTAGAGTACATCCATTTAACCGAGCCACTGTGCTTGTGTGTCTCAGTGTGCAAGTGCAAGGGTGTGTGTGTGTGTGTGTGTGTGTGTGTGTGTATACACCTTGCCTGCCTATGTTTACCTGAAGAAAATTAATCCCATCACCAACGGACTGCAGACACATACCCAATGAGGCCGAAAACATCTTTCTCTCTCTCCCTCTCACACACACACACACAGGATGCAATGCTTGTACTAATTTGTGCCTTTCTGTGCCAAGTTGAACACAAATCAGGGAACAGAAATACTAAAATGAAATCTTAATTAGAATACTTGATGTGGTCACATTTCCTGTGATGTTTCCATCACAACTTTGGGTTCTTGTGCTGCTCTGTCTGAACAGGTGGCAGCTGTGCTATTGGAGAGAATTAGAGTGCAGTCAGTCTATCAGGGGTTACTGCTGCTCTGCATACTGTGACCAGTGACCTCTGACCTTGCTGACAGTGACCTGACAGCTCTGTGCGTTTAATAACCCTGGCCCCTCTCGTATTGTGTGCACTACATAACCCTGCTGGTTTCACGATGACCTTCAGTCCCATTCTTATCTGTGTGCCTACACTTGTTCAAAAGGAGTCTAAACAGCTACACAGACACCTTGCACATGAATACATTTAATCTTATAAATTTAGTTTCAATATCAATTGACTCTATGTAGATATATCTCCAGCAATCCATCATTTATTTGAAAGTTTAGCTAATAAGCAGTATAATCTCCGTTATGTAAACATGCCGAAAGGCACGTGATAAAATTACAAGGCAATAATTCAATTAAAATGGTTCATTGGCATGCAGACTGGATTAGTTACAGCTATGCTATCTGTCCATGCTGATGCCCAGTTTTTTCATCATTTCTGACTGGTTACAGAGTCATGGTCACAGTCATGAGAGAGAAACAAAGAGAGTCAGAGGTAAACTAGACAGAGGCAGAAGGAAAAAAGAAAGTTTCTAATCAAGCATATTTCAAATTATACATTATTCCCATAGTCGGATCTAAATCCAGTCACATGCATACTTATCTGTGGGTGTTTTTGTGTTTCAGTAACATGTAGACAGACATCCTCTTGCCTCACAGCTCTCCCTGTCTTCTATATCAAAACCCATGTGCATATATTCACGTATCACGATGAACCCTGACCTCATTGATGCCTTTGTGCAAAACTCATTTTACTGGAAGTGATTCAAGGCAAGCGCAAATAAAAGGAACCCACTGCATTTCCCCTTAACCCAAGCTTCACAGATTTGTTAGACATGCAGAAAGGATGGAAGCTGGAAAGACAAATGAATTTAAGCAGTAACCCAAAAGATGATACAAACAGATTGCTGATATTTCCAATGCGACTTTGCTCTCTGGGGAACAGTATGTATGATTGCAGAGACCAAGGGTCAGAAAAGAGAGTCTTATGCCAAACGTTGATGGTGTAATATAGAGTCGCAAACATATTCTCAGGCAGGAGGGGGGCATTGAGCCACTGCACCCATGGTCTGGATGGGGGGGAGGGGGAGTATGTGAAGCCAAGGTGTTGGGTAAATAAATAAGGGGTTGCTGATGCTAAACATTATTCTGCTGATGTGAATCTGTTTTTTTAAATAAGTTGCTTCATCTAAATTTATTTCACCTTTAGTTGGGGAACGTCATATCTATCTAAGTAAATTGTTGGTCAAACAGTTTAACCACAGTCCAGAAAAAGCAAGCTAAAACTTCACGGTGAAACGACTGTTAAACCCAACTACGCATGCGCCTTTAGAGTCAACTATTATCGCTGCATTACCAGACAGCAACTGTCATGCTAAACTCTACTTTCCACTTAACATACATACAGCACATGCGCGCACACACATGGAAATAGGAATAGCGCTCTGTGCTGAGAGAAAAGGCTGCATAAATCAGGGATGCCTTCATCACGTTGGCACCTTGCATAACTTTAAAGGTAAGTACTTTAACAAGCAGAGCAGTAATACAGTCTGTACAGTCACAGACTTATACATAGCAGCATACCCCAAGGCTGAGGTGTTGTTACTGATACCGGTCTGGCTGCAGCTTATAAATGGCAAGAGAGGCAACTCCCAGCAGACTCGCAGAGGACAGTAAAAGGGAAAAAGTGGTGCAGCGCACTGCAAACTAGTGGTTCCAGGGTCTTCATCACAATGGCAAATGTGTCTTTATATTTAAATTATGGTTAAAACTACACGTACAAAAATATTTAACGCAATAAATTCTGAAATGTGTCATGAACACCTCAAATCTTTCTACAAATATATTCAAGGCGGCAAAACTACGTAAGTAGAACAAATGTCCTGTATAATTTCTGTTTGTAGCCTGTATGCACAATTCATTTTTGTATTAATTTGATGAAATTATGCCTTTTATTTCGCCAAAAGGGCTACATAATCAATTAGTTCAATCTAATCCATTCCATTTTAAGTCGATAAATCGCCCAAGTTTGCGTTGAAAGAGAAACGCGCACTTGTCTTTTCTTTTCACGGGGTTTCTAGAGGCAGCAGCGGTTCAGCAGAGGCTAACAGTTTCAGTAGCGTTGGTGAAATCTAACTTACCCGCTCTGAAGGTCAGACAGTACAAAATAAGAGTCAAGCTCAGGAGGAAAAAAAAGTGCGTGGCCACTTCTATATATTCTGGCACCAAGTCCGTCAGAAACTATCACAAGCTGAGTTTTAAACCAAGGTTTAAAAGGTTTGACTTTCCCCGTATTTCCACACACCGACAGCGCGTGTGTAACCGATGACACTTAGCCAATTTGTTTTCGTTTTGACGGTCAAGTTGTCACAACTCAGAGCGTCCGCGGTCACCTGTGCCACCGCCAATGGCAAAGCGCAAAACGCCCTTGTGGGAAATGTAGTTTTTACATCGTGTAAACCAGAAGATGCGCTATTTTGAGGTAGTGACGTGATGCCTGTTGACTGCAAAGTTAGTTCCGAGTCGTTCAACAAAAGCACTCAAAGAACTAAACGAAAGGAAAATCTGGTATGACTGTTTCATTGTGCAGCCTGTTGATGATCTTCCGTTAACAAATGTCAGTCTTTGTGGCACACTGCTCAAAATTAAACACTTTTGAAAGACAGCATAGCTTCAGTTAAACTTCTGGGATGTTGATCTGGTTAGTCAGGTAGGAGAGGGGGTTGTTAATCAAGTTCAGCTGCTTTAGTGTTAATGAAATTCACCAGTGCACTAAAAAGGCAACTATGAGAACCGCCCACAACAGTCATGGTTTTTCCAGGTGGAGGTCACCACCCCTCCCCCATCTTTTGCCCTTTCATTTAAACTAGTTTTGCATGTGGCTGGGGTCAGTGTCACTACAGGTAGCATGAGGCAATGCAGTGTATCTAGAAACTATTCATCTTCTTCACCGCGTCACTTGTTCCACATTTTGTCATGTTACAGCCTTATTCAAAACACATTCAAATTCATTTTTCACCTCAAAATTCTCCACACAATAACCCATAAGGCGGGAAAAAGTAGGCAAGTATTTACAGCCTTTGCTCAATTCTTTATTCAAAGTGCAATTAATGCCTCAGGTCTTTTTGAGCATGATACTACAAGCTTGGCACACCTGTTTTGGGGCTCTTATTCTTCTTTGCACTTTGAACTTCTTAAGCTCAATCAGATTGGATGCAATTTTTTTTTGCTGTACAGCAATTTTCACTTCTCTCCAGAGAAGTGCAATCAGGTTCAAGTCTGGGTTCTGGCTGGGCCGCTCAAAGACATTTACAGAGTTGTCTTGAAGTCAGTCCTTTGTCATCTTGGCTGTGTGCTTAGGAGTTTTGTCCTGCTGCAAGATGAATAGTCACCCCAGGCCAAAGGTCCTGAGCACTCTGGAGCAGGATATCATCAGTGACGTCTCTTTACGTTGCTGCATTCATCTTTCCCTTGACCCTGAATAGCCTCCCATTTCCTGCTGCCAAAAAGATCCCCAGAATGATGTTGCCACCACCATGATTCTCTGTAGGGATGGTATTGGCCAAGTGATGAGCAGTACCTGGTTTCCTCCAGACATGACACTTGGCATTTAAACCAGAGACTTCAATCTTGATTTAAAAAAAGAAAAGAAAAGAAAAAGAGGTCTTCAATATTTGAAAGCCTTTGTTTCATCAGTTCTTTTGGTAAACTCCAGGTGTGCTGTCATACGCCTTTTACTGAGGGTTGTCTTCCATCTGGCCGCTCTATTATACAGGCCTGATTGGTGGAATGCTGCAGAAATGGTTGTCCTTCTAAAAGGGTCTCCTTTCTCCTCAAAGTAATGCCAGAGCTCTGACAGAGTGAACCTTCCTAACTAAGGTTCTTGTACCCAGATGACTTAAATTGGCCAGGCTGCCAACTCCAGGAAGTCCTACTGGTTCCAAATTTCATCCATTTACAGATGATGAAGGCCACTCTGCTAACTGGAACCTCCAATGCTGTAAAAACACCTCTGTATTGCAGCCCAGATCTGTGCCTCATTCCATCTCCCTGGACTTCATGGCTTGGTTTGTACTGTGACATAATCGGTCAGCTATGGGACCTTATATAAACAGGTGCGTGCCTTTCCAAATCATGTCCAATCAACTGAATTTACCACAGGTGGACTCCAATCAAGTTGTATAAAGGTGTGACAATTAGTGGAAACAGGACGCAGCTGAGCTCAGTTGTACCTGTGTGTCATGGCAAAGGCTGTGAATACCTATGTGGATGTTATTTATTTTTAATACATTTGCAAGAAGTTTTTTTTCTTCACTTTGTCATTATGGGGTTATTGTGTGTAGAATTTTGAGGTGAAACAAATTTAATCCATTTTGGAATAAGGCTGTAACATGACAAAATGTGGAATAAGTGAAGCCCCGTAAATACTTTTGGGTCAGTGATGGTCTGAGGAGGCGTATCAATGGAAGGACCCACATACCTCTACAGGCTAGGCAACATTATCCTGACTGCCATTAAGTATCAGGATGCAGGACGTTCCTGAAGGAGTAATGAAATAATACCATCAACTGTCCCCCACACTCACCTGATCTAAATCCAATAAAACACCTCTGTGATGCTGCAAGGTTGCACCTAAAGCTGTCCAGGAGCTCACTGATGTCCAGAGCTGGGAAATCCCCCATGACACTGTCATCTCATTAGAGGCATGCCCCAACATCATCAGGCATGCACACAAGGTCATGGAGACTATACAAACGACCGAGTACTGTTTTGAGTGGCTGCAATTACATTTCAGCAAAGTGGATTGCATGCTGCATCATTTAATCACTTTGATTTTCAGGGAGACTTTGAATTCAGCCCTCTGTAGGTTGATCATTTTAATCTCGATGTGGCATCTTTTTGTTCCCGACACATTTCCAGATATCACAAATATCAGTAAAATTTTCCCGTATTTCCCCCCCACTGAGATCTGATGTTTGTTTTGTTTTTTGAGCAGTATATTTACTTTGAATGGATCCCAGTGTCATATTTCTCAATACAGAACAAACTTTTACTTTAATTCTAGAAGCAGCATGAGAAAACCTTCATACATGAGATGTGGAGGATTATCCGGTGCACGTTGGAGCCGAAAATTCTCATCTCAGTTATGTGGATCATCGGTGACTGGTTTTATACTAGTAAAATAGTACCTTATAAAGTCTTTGTTAATACCTACTACGACTGTAAGAGGGAAATAAAAAAAAAATTTAAAAAAATACATTGTTCAACATTTCAAAGGCAACCCAGAGAACTCTAATAGGGCAGTTTCAGTTTTTATTTCACTACAGCGATTTATCAATGAAACTCATTTGTTAAAACTAGTCCCCGACTCGAAAGCAATCAGCAGCTGCCAACCAGAAAAACCAGCCGTCCTCTGCTACTGGGTAATGCCACCAAAAAGTCATTATGGCAACTGCATATGGTTAAATCTAATGACTTCTTACCCCACAACAGATGTGCAAATAAGTTCAGGTTAAACAGACTTTTTAATTTGTCACAGCAAGTTAAGCACAGGTTGATGAATGATTGTTATGTTCCACCTGGGGGAGGTCTTACTCTTTTGCATGCTGTAATAGCTTACTGGGAAACATAGCAAAATTACATCATCAATAACTCCACCTGTGCTTTCACAAACTGTTCCCAAAGTCAAACTGTCTGCTGTGGGGGGGACAAAAAAAGTCTACTGTGGATGGATAAATCGGTATGAGTGGTAGCTCCCCCCTACGATCATCATGTGACTGGTAAAACTGTACACACATTCAACACACATGAAGACACTGAACACGTTCAAAGTTGAGGGTGAAGAAACACTGCAAGGGTGGCAGTACAGAACACAGCTCACAGAGTCAGCAAGGCAATCAAGATCTTATTAACCAAGAAAAAGCAAAAACAAAACACTGCCTGCATCAGCAGATGATGTCTGAGGTAAATCATCTCTTTGGCCCCTTCAGTGCAGAGCTGATTCAATCTTTTTCACATAATACTAAGTGAGGACGCTTCAAACTAAAATCAATCGAAAGGTTGTTGCAGTAACATGCCAAAGTATTTTAAGAACTGTCAAGCGACTATAAAATCAAATATCTAACAAAGTACAATCTTCCCACCCTTTTAATCCCTTTGAGCTTTTTGATTTTTTTTATCCAGAGTAGAAAATGTGTTATACATGTACATTCAACATGCAGCAATGTAGTCTGAAAAACCGCAACAATTATACTACAGGGTCCCCTCTCCCATGTGTCTATGACCAGACCGTCACACTTCAATTCAGTGTTGGTTTTTACTAAACATCTAACAATCAAAATGTGTATTTGCCAAAAACCTTCACTGAACATGATATACAGATCATCAAGTATCGTCTTTTATGAGTGTAGCGAGATAATGAGGTTCCTGATGCAATGCCTGCTGTAGTAGGGGCTGAGAAGAGACTCATGAGTAGATTAAGGAGGGGTACTGTGGATGCCACCAGTCCATGAGCTTCACACTGTGTACAGGATCCAACACCACCTGGGTCCCACCTTGATCCACTCTTTTCTTCCCCCGTTGGAGTGGCGAGTCTTGTAACACAAGCCGAACGCGGTGGTGGCGCATGTCTGTGCTTACATTTATTGTGAACTAGGAGGCAAAACAAGAGGAAAAGTCCATGAGTTTCTAGTCTGTAGCTCAGAAGAAGAATCAACCCTTTGTCATGTGAGGAAACATATACAGTCACTTTATTTAACAGAAGATTTTTGGAAAAAGAAAAGTAAAAATGTCTTATATTATCAACAACACACAGGGTTAAAATTTTGTATTTCCAAGTATGTCAATGAATGACGTTAAGACTAAAGCTGGTGTTTAGTAAAACTCAACAGAACAGTACATAAGAGCTCTCTGAAGCCTTCCTGTGTGATTGATCACTGACACCGAACTGCATTTTGATCACATTTCCTTTTATAACTTCAACTTATTTCAAGCAGTTTAACACAGTAAAAATAATTAACTGGTAAAGCATACTAATGGGTCACATCAGCTGAATTAGTAGTTGCAATCTTCATCCAGATCTTTGTTCTTTAATCTTAATGCTATTTAATGTCAATTGTCTAATAAAATAATATACTAGTGAGGAGTATTACATTTATTTTAAAGCATCAATCAATTCAAACAAGAGTTACCACAACAACCTACTGATTGGTTGTGTATGCCATGAGACAGTTGCTTTCACTGATTGAAACTCTTTTTATATACACATTTAAAAACTTTATAGGCAGCACTTGACACTGCTACCTTGTAAAGATCAGCTGCAGAATAACACACACCAGTACTCAAAGGAACATTAAGGCAGGCAAAAAAACAAGGTGAGTTACTTGCCAGGCTCAGCGT